TATGTCTAGCAGACCCACAATCCTGCAAACATACTCCTGGCTAATAAACCGAATTGATTCCTGCCGATCTACCCTGCCGGTTTACCCAAAGTACTCTATTGTGCTATATCAGTCAGGGACACAATCCCTAACAAAATCTTCTATCGCACAAAGGACCAAATTAGAATTTCAGAAAATAAATAAATATAATATACATATATAATTGAAATTGAGACTTCAGTACATTTTGAATGCATGTGTACGTTGCTTCAAATTCAAATTGCACATCATCATATGATATATTTAATTCTAATTGGTTACTTGAACTCATACTTGTTATTGTATTTGCTTTCTTTTTATTTGTACTTGTTTGAGCATAAATTAAGTTTGATCGATATTCAGTTCATCTACTCTCTTGGATCTACGTCGAGATTCATGACCATGGCCTGGTCGACCTACTCCATGCTCCAGTAATATGTCACTGCGCGCGGTTGAGTCATCCTGCTTCAGCTGCTTACCCCTATGTTTGGTCTCCATAAGTTGACTTGCTCAACTCTTACACGGGTCGATCTATTTGTACGTACTTTATCACTTATCCGGTTTACCCGAGTTATGACTATATAAAAATAAGTAGAACATAAAAATGTAATGATTTGTGTGAGATTAATCATTAGTAATTTATAATTTAAAATACACAAGTGATTGAATAGTATATTTTGTTTGTAAATGTGTGGTAATAGTTATTTTTTTTAAAAAAAAAAAATTATACTGATAGGTAGATGGTTCATAAATTGTCAACCTAAGTTGGATGGTGATGAAGATTCCTGTTAAAGAATACGTCGGTTCTGGATAACTCATCATGTCGGATGAATCTTGACGTCAATCTTGCAAATCTTTAAAATTTCTTCACATAACCGCATCGCGATAGAAGGAAAAACCGAACCGAAAATTTCGGACCGGTTCAGTGCGGTTTTTCCGTTAACAGAAATTAGAAAAGATAACTACCAATTAATGTAATGTAAGTAAAAATGTAAAAATTAAGGTGATATTTTATTAAAAAAAAGTGACATTTTATGACATTCTGTGCAGTTCGGTTAAAACCGACCATTCGGACAGAAATCGAAAATATTTGCGGTTTTCCAAACCCAAACTGCACCGATAACTGAACTCTTCAAAAACCACACCGTATAGCTCGGTTCGGTATGTTTTTTTTTTTTTTGGTTTCGACTCGATTTTTCTCATCTCTAATAGGGTTTACCTACGGTGTATGTCGGACCTAGAATCAGATAAAAAAAAAATAATAAATTTTGAATTTTACAAAGCAACATTCTCTGAGTTAAACATAGTGGGTCGGCCTGGATATGGGTTGGGCCTCGGCCAACCGGATCAAAATGTTTTGTAATTTCGAATTGGAACTGGAACCGGAACCAACCCGATTCCATTTTGGCCTGGAACAGTACTAGTGAATGGCTCGGGTCAGCTGGTTATCCTTTGGGTCAAAAATCATGTTTATATGGATCTAACTATTAACCGCTCACGATTCCAAAAGATGAGTAAATTTATAAGTCACTGCTTAATAATGTAATTTGGAAAAAGTGTTTCGTATTGTATTGGTCACAATCTCAATCCAAAAAGTTTTATTATCATGAGAAAGAAATGAGTGCCTAAGAGAAAAACTTATTCCTAATTCAACCTTGAGACCGGCCCTTTAAACATTAATAATACTCACGTACCTATTGTCCAATAAATAGTGAACAACTGCTCATCATGAATCATTTCTTTATTCAAAATAACTAGTATTAATACCCATGTACAACACGAGTGTTGAGTTAATGAATATATGTGTAAAGTTATTTATGACTAATACCAAACTTAACTCCAGAGCAAAAATAATATAAAAACAACATCACGAAGCATAGATTTTCGTCATCTCAGCATCCGAAGCGTGAGAATCTGCCACCTATGCTCAACACGTTTTGGATTAATATACAGGGAGGGATAATTAAGCCGACCCAATAAGAACTTTAATCAAATCATGATTCCACCAAAACCAACCCCATTTCAACACCTAATTAAGCTAGCTCAATTATTATATCAACCCCTAATTTAAGTTCCATAATATAAAAAAATATCACGCTCAACCCAAATTCTGTCCACAAAAATTTTCCTTCTTTGGCAAAAATTAAGAACAATAAAAAATAAAAAATTATTCAAACAATAAGAGTTTAATTTTAGATTACCTGGCCGGCGCACTATATGGCCAGGCCGGTGGCCCAAAACAGGCCGTGCCGGCCCCCACCACTCAAGATTCAACCTTTTTTCTATTATTATGCTGACAAAATTAGGGGGTCCCCTCCCCTCCCCTACAAGCTATGAAATTTAAATTTTAAATAAATAATGAAATATACAAAATAAAATAAAAACAAAATTGGAAAGTAATAAAAAAAAATAGTTCATCGTCATCCTCAATTAAAATGGCTCACATGCAACCAACAGGGATTTTGACTCAAGTGGTAAACAGTTTAATGTCGTTTAAGCAATATTTCGGGTTCGAGTCCTTGTGGATGTAGAAAATTCTTGTTGGGAGACTCACCCACCACTACCAGGTGTGCAACCTAAATCGACCAACAGATTAGTCGGGACATAACTCCGGAACCGTGATTGGCTACCAAAAAAAATGGCTCACATGCGCGGACATTTTATCCAACACCTTCCAGACATTTCTGCTTGTTGACAGCTGGGATTCAGCTCGAATTTTTGATTGGTTGTGGGTGGAGATACATGGAACAAGCATCTCTACAACTCTCATTCAAATTTGAAATTATTCTAAATATTTTATTACAACTCAAATTTTTGTGTGGATCTGACTAATTGTTACGTGGGTCGATTCGTCATACATTTAACATTTTTAATAAAAATGAATACTTATAAGGAGAAATATTATACATTTATTTATGTGATTTTTAATAATATGACATTTGCAGTAAAAATATGTATATTTTGTTGACAATATATAATTGTGTAACAAAACCATTATTGGAATAGAATTTTTACTTATAATTTTAACTAATCTAGATC